ATTTCTGGAATTTTAGTGTTTATTTCTTCAAGTGTTTTAAAATCTAATTCCTTTGTATTTTTAATATTTATTTTTGCTATTTAAGTCCACTGGTTTTATGAACGTTGGATTTAACATCTTTAATTCTAAAGATTTTGTACTATGAAACCGTGCACGTGCATAAAGTTCCATATGTACCAGTAGTCTATGTGCAATAATAGGTTGAACTTTCCTATAACAATCACATCTTCAACGTGTTCTCTCATGACAACTGGAACACGTAATCTCCTCCTAGCAACAACGATGTCCTCGAAGTTTCTATTCCAAATTTAATCTCATAGCAACCACGTCCTTGTATATGTTGCTCCATGGCCACACGAACATTTAATCTTCGTATAGTAACCATGATCTGGTAGTTTTTTCCTATGATAAGGTGAACATTTAATCTCTTCATAGCAACAAACACCTAGCACCATGGCAACGTGTACAGCTAATCCTTTTATAGTAATCCTGTCGTCATACCTTTTGCTCCGTGAGGTTTATTTTTTCTTTTAATCCCTACCATATTATAATTGTTTTGGAGTACAGTAAGATAAATATTTATTCTATTTACAAATCCTCTATATTCCCGTACTCTTCCTCATATTTATTACATAACCATTAATTCCGGGCGTACGTAAATATATCTTTACACTTTCCGTAACAAGGCGCTTGAATTGGTCTGACAAACATGGCGTACGTAAATCTATCATATCTTTTTACTTTCCGTAACAGGGCGCTTGAATTGGCCTGACAAACAGCTGGCGTACATAAATCTATCATATCTTTTTACTTTCCGTAACAGGGCGCTTGAATTGGTCTGACAAACAGCTGGCGTACATAAATCTATCATATCTTTTTACTTTCCGTAACAGGGCGCTTGAATTGGCCTGACAAACACTTCTTTTGTATATGAATCTTTATCCAGCCATAGTTTTTTGTGTCACGTAAGAGTAAATATTTTGCTTTGTTTTGTTTCGGATATTCACGGAAAGCTTCAGAAGGATTATCTGTGATAATCGTCCCTACTTTTAGACTAGAATAAAGACAACTAGTCAACATCACCCTTTGTAAACTCTTTTGGTTACAGTAGCCGAAAAGTTGGATTTGACCATCACTCTTATAACGTAACTACAGAGCGATATCGTGGACCCTTGGATCCATAGTACGCCACGCTAACTACTTGATCAAACCCAGCCAAAGACTAAATATTTAGCCTGTGTATAACCTCTAATCCGCTTCTGGTACTAGAAATATAGTATTTGTAGTTCCAATGTCCTCACTACCACTTCAAGGTTATTCAAAACAGCATAATATATATAAACACACACGTGCATATATATATATAAATCCAATTGACTCTTTTCCACATTTGTAGTTTCTATACACACCTATGTAGTAAAGGTAAAGGTGGTGTCGCGTTGCCCCAGTTTTAATGGCCAAAAAAAAAATGACCTCATTTTCCAGACAGGCTAGATTCGAACTTGTCCACCTCGTCCTCCAGAATAACTTGTAAGCAATCGAACGGAACCTCTCGTTGTTTCAAACTGGTTAGCCTTGATAGACGGAATCTTGATATAACTAACGTACATTCATGATAAGTAGTTGACCATTTGCATGTTTCATTCATTCGTTTGTAAAGTTATTCAGACCCTTATTTGGCCACTTGGTTATGCCCAGGTTTGGGTTGCGGTACAGGATGGCCACTTGGTTATGCCCAGGTTTGGGTTGCGGTACAGAATTACATAAAATCACTTATTAGAAAGTAATTTACAATCGGAAGAAGAATTATATTTTTGCCCCCAGTGGCACAG